AAACAGGCAAAACAAAATTATTATTCTGACTTAGGCCATGAGATGAAAATTAAACAGTAATCAAATTGCCCATTATATTGCATATTAAATAATAATCAGTATTATCACAATTAGCCAAATGTTCTGTTTTCAGGGCATCTCTAACTCATTTGCTCCCAGACAATGCTTGACCTTCTTTTGCAATGAGTGATAACGTTCCATTCTGCTGGGAAGAATGTGGCCACGTGATCCGAGAGGAGTGTGTCCCTCAAGGGTATATGTGAGGTTAACTGAGAGAAGGGTTTTTTGGAATGTCTTTCTGACTCTTTGCCTGATGTGTTCACTGACACTTTGCACACTTCCTATAATTATTTTTGGACTCTAAATACAGTAAATTTCACAGTTTGAGTAATCGTCAGTCATTGCTGAGTGTGTGTTTCTCATGCATGTGATAATATGGTTTTTGCAGTAGTAGGCATGATTTATGGGCACTGCAGAGAAAGCCCTCTCTTGATAGTCTCCAGGGGCTTGTATGAGATTGGGAGTGTGTTGCAATGGTGTCAGGACTGGAAAAAGTTACAAACAAAAAAACATACATAGAGGGATAACAGAATATAGAAATAAAAATAATTCACTTTTCTAAATGATCCTAAGTGATAGTGCTAATGTGACATATATGACAACTGAGCAAGCCAAGTTACAGAAAGGAAGGAGTTGCTGCTCTTTTGGCCACTCAGAATATGGTCAGTAAGATAAAAAAAAAAAATTATTCAGCAAGTATGCATCAAATTGATCAAAAGTGACAGTAAAACATTTATAAAGTTACAAAAGATTTGTATTTCAAATAAATGCTGTTCGTTTGAATTTTATATTCATCACAGAATGACTGTTTTCAACATTGAGCTGTTTTTAATATTGATAATAAAATAAGAAATGTTTCTTAAGCAGCAATTCAGTGTGTTAGAATGATTTCTGCAGGATCATGTGACACTGAAGACTGTAGTAACAGCTGCTAAAAAGAATAAACAGAAACAAATGACATTTTAAAATATATTAAAAAAGAAAGTTATTTTAAATTGCAAGATTTATTTCACAGTATTACAGTTTTTACTGTATTTTGATCAAATAAATGCAGCCTGACACAAAACTTTTAAATGGTATTGTATATTAAAATTAATAATGGAGGATGCAACCAACAAGAACACCCTATCAACACTCAAGAAACCACTCCGAATGTCCTGGAAGGCACTCAAAATTTGATTTAAAAAAAAAAATTATTATATTTAATTATATACATTTAACTGAAATTATGGTTGAAAATTCACTTGCATATCTGGTAATACGTAAGTGAATTTCGTAGACTCTTACATCAATATCACCCCCTTTTTCTTTCCCTCTGCTTTATATGAATTTTTTCTTTTTGGATAAATTCTGGATAAATCTCTCATCTGATATTTCTTTTTGTCATTGCCTCACTTTCCCTTACCCTTTTCTTAGTCTTCTCTCTTTCCCTACCTCTCTCTCTCTCTGCTGGTTTTAATGACATATCTCTGTCTCTCTCTTTTTGCTCGGCATAGTAGTTCCTTACTCTGGCTTCATGTTCTCAGTTCTGACCCACTTACAGCCATTTGCGTCCAGTCTGTCCCCTGCAGGGTGGGTGAAGCTAATTTAAGATCTTTGCTTTTACCCCTCCACACCTCCTCCCCCCAACTTTCTCTTTCTTTCTCCTGTCTGCTTTTGCTTTGGTAGGGTTTGAGTATGCAATCTATGCTCTAGAGGTTTTTTTTTTCTTTTGTGTGATGGAGTGAATATGGTAATTGATGGTTGGTCTCTGAGCTGAATGTGTATCTCTCCCTCCCCCTAGTGACTCGGTCACCTGAGTTTGGATTCAGCCAATTACTTGGTTTGCTTAACTGTCAGACCATCAGTCCCCAGAAGGCCTGAAAAAAATGTAGCCAGCAGATGTTGGACTCTACACTTTCAACACTCACACAAACAGTAGGGAGACTATAGTGTCTCGTATGTGGAAAGAGAGAATCGCTTGTTTTCTGATTCAGATTTCCTATTATGCTGGTATATTATTTTAATCCCCTTTCTCACACAGATTGTTCAGTTTCAAAGTAGGCTGCTTTACTGAAATGATTATTCAAAATGGAAACAACTTGCTGGGTGCAAACGTAGACAGAAATGTTCTTAACATTTATTAGTATTAACATGAACTGCATAGGCCTTAAAATTAACATGACAGAGATGTACAATTGTGGTTTTTAAACTTGGTTTAAATGATTGTTTCATGCACAGACAATAATTTAACACACAATACACATTAACTGTGTTTTTGCAGTCATGAACAACCAGTCAGTAATCATAGGCTACATATTTAAAGTTCACAAACCTTACGTACACAAAACTTTGTTTATTTCAAGATTGATGTCACTGACAGTAATGATAACTTGTGATAACTAATGATAAGTTTAAATGAGTCAGATGTTAATTCGGTAACCACTGACTGATTCAGTCAGGCACATTCAGTGATAGATTCATCAGACTGATTAAAATGGTAACTCGTGAGTCTTTTTTTAGTTATTCCTTAAAAAACACTCCATAGAGTCATTTGCCCTTCAACTGGACTACACTGATAATGTGTTATTTTTCTTTTCTTCCAAACCAGTTAAGCAGAAATCACACCTCACAGCCAATTTCATTGGTCAACTTGTGCAGCCACCTGTCAAGAAAGGTTTACATTTTATGGATTCAGTTCAAAGTTCAGAAAGATGGATCTCATGACAAACAGTAATGCTATCTATCAGGATGTGCTACCAAACACTTAGGTTAAGGTTAGGATGCAGGTTAAGGTTAGGGGTGAGTATTTGTTTCAGCGTTGTGTAGGCAATTAGCACTTTGATTGACGTGACCAATGAAATCTTTAGAATCGGCTTTGGGTGAATTTGGTTTGAGAAAAAAAATCATAGTGATCATGTTTTTGATACACTATAATAACTGGTTTATATGAATAATTTGTTTGTGAATCAGACTAACTTGGTTGTGCTGTATGTTTTCTTTTGCATGCAGCTCATGAGAACAGTTCAGAAGAAAGGAATGTTTGCATTTTTTGACATTTTATTGGTATCTAGCCATATAACACGCGTTTCACATTAAATACAGACAAATTAATTTCCACAAGGACAGTGTATATCTGTGTCAGAGATGTCTGACCGGCTCTGAATGAGTGGAAGTCTGTCGGTTAGCGATCCATCAGTTTGTCACTAATAGAGATCGTTATGAAGGGGTGTTGTAGAAAACAGAGACTGAACAGAAAATTAAACGCAGCTAGTCTTACGTTTATTGTTCTGGGCTGTGTTTCCCAAAAGCATTGTAAGACTAAGTAAGTAGATCGTAGAACCATTGCCACCAATGGTCTCTATGATCAACTTCCCTCACAAGTTTTCTTTTGCGTGCAGCTCATGAGAACAGTTCAGAAGAAAGGAATGTTTGCATTTTTTGACATTTTATTGGTATCTAGCCATATAACATGCGTTTCACATTAAATAGACAAATTAATTTCCACAAGGACAGTGTATATCTGTGTCAGAGATGTCTGACCGGCTCTGAATGAGTGGAATGCGTCTCACAGTTTCTCTGAAAGGTCAGAGCTTTGACATTCCATTAGAGATGTGCAACAGATACTGGGTAACCAGAGCAGTAACACAGAGACAGGGTTCTGGCTCTCTGTGTGTCTCCCCACTTTTCGGCTCCTCCTCTCTGCCCCTTCATGCCTTTTACTGCATTCACTTTTACACTTTCACTGAACCTCTTTTTCATTTTCTCTTTCTGAGTCAGCAAAGCCTCAGTGGCGTGACAGCATTTGAATCAGTGTTTCATAAGCAGCTGAGTGAGGAATCTGTCTTTATTCCCTGTCTCTGTTTTTCTTGGGCTGTGTTTTGTGAGGATTTAGGCTTTTGTTAGGCCTCTACTCAAGGCTTGGTTAAATTAGAGCTCCTTAGAATGGCCTGACAGACTACCAAGAGGCTCTGCAATTCTTTCAGACCTGAAATATTTCACACACTAAACAACCAGCCACCCTCATCTATCTATCTATCTATCTATCTGTCTATCTGTCTTCAGGATACCCTAGTGAAAAATAAATATACTAAAATGTATTTGAAATACATTTATTTCATGGTGAATATACTACAAATACATTTGCATGTGTATGTGCTTAATAAAAAAATACCCTGCAGTTGTACTTTTAGCATACGAAACTGGTATACTTAAAGTCTGCTAAATTGGAACAACTAAGTTTGTCACTAGTAGTACTCTAAATAAAGTTGAATTAGCTATCATTTTTTATAAGTCTTGAGCGATATGTCAGTAAATATGTTAATAGATTTGAACTACTTAGTATGAAATAAAGTTATTTTAAATGTATTACTTTTTCACTAGTGTAGGCCTCAGTAGTTTCTTTGCTGTTTGATAGTGGGTACTGTAAGTTCTCTTCCTGATCTCTCTGTCAGGGTTTACATCACGCTCTGTTCCCTCTCTTTCTGGCTGTGACACTGGCTGGTTTGTTTGAGTGTTGTTGTTTGGCCAGCTGACACACAATAGCCATGTTAACTTCTATTCTCTGCCCACTCAGTATGCAGCTGTGTGTAGTAATGTGCCGCTTACAGGTGCTCAGTGTTTTTCTCTCTTACATACGACTGATGCATTATTCACTCTACGTATGATTTCATTCACAGTACAGCTATCCTGCAAGTTACATCATAACAGAAAGTTATGCATTGTGGTACCTCTCTTCAACATTTGACAAACTGGACATTTTAATTAATGATTTAACAATATTATTAATCACTTTCTTTTTCTCTCTCTTCTTCTTCTCATTGTTCACTGTGTCTGTCTTTCTGTGATTTAAAAAAAAAAAAAATTTATCTTGGTGTCTTTTTGTCATCATGTACTAACACCTCCCTCTCATTTCCTGCACTCCATGTTTTGGTTGCTCCTGTCTTCGTCGCTCCTGATAGGACACAAGCAGAGATGGCCCATACGTGCCGCGGCACCATCAACCTGGCCACGGCGCACATCGACACCGAAGACGCCTGCAATATTGTTCTGAGCAGTGGGGGGCGCACGTACCATCTGAAAGCCAGCACAGAGGTGGAGAGGCAGAGATGGGTCACAGCACTGGAGCTGGCCAAGGCCAAAGCCATCAGAATGATGAACGATCAGTCCGGTAAGAGCGGGAAAATTCTGGTGAACATAGATATTTTTTTTTTAGTTTGTGCTTTTAAGCTGAAATTGATCATTGCCACACTGATTTGCCAGCATTTTATTTGGGCTTGTAAATTGATTGTCCATATAATAAACTGGGACAATGATTCTACTATATTCGACACATCACATCAGTCTTTAACAAACATTTATCTGAAGTTTCCTGGCAACAATAGGTCACTTTAAAGTTGCTTTTATAGCAAATGAGGACACTCATCTGCCTTTTTAGCAAGATGGCATCTAATCATATGGTTGAAAGTGTTACTTTTTTAATTGAAACAGTATAGAAATGTTCGTCTGGATCCATGTTTTCTCTCTGCTTAGAACTAATTGTGTTAATTGAGTTGCTGCATAAAGGTTTTGAATGGAAAATGTCTGTGCTTTTAGACAATGGCCCCACAGCCCCGCTAACACACTGTTATCAGTCTGGTAAGGTGACTGGGCTTCTTACAGAGGCTTTGCATCATGTTTGCAGGGTTGGTGTGTAGTTCAGAGTGTTTGCAGAAAATTGCAGGGCTCAGCAATAAGAATTTTCTTATTCTGGTCCAGTCAGGAGATTAAATTTGCACTGGCCATGTCATTGGATTTTCACTGGCCGCACCATAAAAAGGTCTGTTTTTATTTAAAAAATGTTTTTAATTAACTAACTAAAAACAAAATTAAGGTTTTGTAAGGGTCATGAACTGAGGAATCAAAATTCCATTGATCTTTTCACATATCATTGAAAAGTCATTGTATTAGTAAAAACATCCTGTAAGTTTCAGAACTGATAACTTTCTCATTAGTCTAAAAACAGTTTATATTGAAACCAGTCTGCCAAAAAAACAGGGGCCGGATTCACGAAAATCTTCTTAAGATCAATTCCATGAAGTTCGTAAGAATGTTCTTAAGTGCAATTCTTGAAAAATTCTTAATAAGTTCGAGAAATTTTAACCAAACTATGTTACAGACTTTTCATTAAGACCCTAAAGAATCATATCAACTTGTGGAAAATGGGCATCCTATGACCCCTTTAAGAAGAAAATAACAGTCGTTATCTGAGTGAATACATGACGCACTGATAAACTCTTTATGCGCTTCCTGCAGATTACCCTAATAATCTTAATAAGCATGCACATTATTTTCGTCGCGAGTTTGACTGGCACTCATCTTCACGTTTTTAATGCGCCGTGTTTTTGAACAGTTATTTTTAAAATAGCCTGTCTCAAGCTGCAGCGATATGTTTCATTCATTTTTGTGGTGTTTTTGCGCTCTCATCTGAGTGAACGCTTCCGGTATGTGTGTCCGCGCTGCTACAGCAAACGCGTCCTGCACATTCATGTGCGCTGAATACTGCCAAAGATTATGTCATATTTATAAGATAAAATTAAAAGCGTTCAATTAAAGCTCCCTATCTTACTCATTTTAGAGTTGCTACTGAGTTTTGAAGTCAGCAAAAAGTAGCGTCACACAGGCTAATCATGACCGATCATTGTTTACATTATCAGTTATCGCTGTCACTTCAGAAAACTCATGCACATCCCTATTAATAGTCCTACTATGTATTATATGTAGCTAGTGTTGTTGTAATGCTTAAATATAACAATTTATTTGAAATAACCCAATAAATTAATTCAATTATTCTTACTGTTTGGGATTTAAGACAAGTCTGGGGCTGTCCTAAATTTAAGAAGTTATTTACGATGATTTTTAAGAAGATTCTTTTCAAGAATTTGAATTCTTCTCAAGTTTTGTCTTAAGAACAATCTTAAGAAAAAAGATAAGAATATTCTTAAGATGAATTTTTGGGAATACAAAATATTCTTAACTTTTTTCTTAAGTTAAAAAATAAGAAGAAAATGGCAGTTAAGAAGAAATTTTTTCTTAAGAATGTTTCATGAATCCGGCCCCTGGTTGTGGAATATGTGACTGTATGTCGTAATAGTGTAGCTAAACACGGTCTCCGCAGAAGATCAACACCCGCTTATACATCACTGCCTGTTTAGCCCCGCCCACTGATTCACACATGTAGTGTAAATAATGAGAGAGGCAAACTCAGGTCTACACAGCAATCAATTGATTAACTTTTTTTGATGAACTTAATTCTTAATTAATGTCAGTAAGAACTTGGTCCTTTGTTCACTTCATTTTACCGCGGATTCGTTTACAAACAAGGCACAATTCCATGCAGGATTTTCAGAAAGATTGAAACTAAAAGACGATTTGCTGACTATATTGGATCCGACAGCAATGTCGCACTACACAAGTTTGAGTAACTGTTTTTATTACGTGGTCACTATTGCTTTGTCTGTTATTACAGATTGTTTGATATTTACTGAGTAATAATGTGTTTTTAACCTAAATCACAGCCGTGTCCATCTGTGAAGGATGTAGACTGTCAATCTTACACAACTGTTAGCCAATCATAGCAGTGGGCAGTGTTGGGTAAGTTACTCTAAAAAAGTAATTAATTACTAGTTACTAATTACATCTTCAAACGTGTAATTAGATTACTGTACAAATTACTCTCTCCAAAAAGTATTTAATTAATTATTACTAATTACTTTCTAAATCCTATATCAACCTTGACAAGTTAATGATATAAGGATAGACATGAAACAGTTCTTTTAATTCTTTCAAATAAATAATAGATAACTACATAAATTATTCTGGTCACACGTTAGATTAGAGTCCAATTCTCACTATTAACTAACTGTTAACTATGACTTTTGCCTCAATATACTCCTACTTACTGCGTATTAATACTTAGTAAAGTAGTTGTTAAGTTTAAGAATGGGGTAGGATTAAGGATTTAGAATAAGGTCTTGCAGAACAAGACATTAATATGTGTTTTTTTTTTAAAGTAATAATAAACAGCAAATATCCCAGTAATATTCATGCTAATAACCAACTAGTTAATATTGAGAATTGGACACTTAAGTGTTACCAATGTTCTTATTAACTCACCAAAGTATTTAAAGTTAGAAGGGTACATAAAAAGCATGCATTTTAAGGTTGGACTTCAAATTTTGATGTTAAAGTCGGCATGAAACGGAATACTATTGTCTTTTTATCCCTACTGTGATGTATAATTCCTAGTGAAACAGCATCTGAAATGAGAGGGCGGGGCTTGATTTCATCCTTCGGGAATTGATTGGATCATTGGAAGTTGGCGTTGCTAACAAAATGGAGGCAGATCTGAATGCCAGTTTGCAGTTAGTTGTGGGGGGATTTCTCTCCACTGGATTCACCGCCGACACCCTAGCATGAAGACATTTTTAATTTATTGAGGAAGACGACGACGAGGATGATCAACGGCACAAAACATGCCTAACAGCATGCGTGCGCGAGAGAGAGAGAGAGAGAGAGAGAGAGACTGCCTGAATGACGTGACCGGAAGAGAAGATGAGTCGCTTTGAGGGGGAGGGGAGGTTAACGTTTTTGATTAAAGATTACGAGGGCACATGAATAAAAAATAAAATAATGAAGTGCACGGATAAATTATTTATTATAAACACTACAGTATTCCATTAAAAAATAAGAATTTTCAATTTTGATTTCATGCCGACTTTAAATCCCCTATTGCATTGTATATAAATGTTCTACAGTCTATACACAGTATTAAGTTCAATTACATAAGAAGTAACTGTAATTAAATTACAGAAAAAAATAAGAGTAATCCCTTACTTTACTTTTTCAAGGGAAAAGCAATTACATTACAGTAACTTATTACTTAGTAACTAATTACACCCAACACTGGCAGTGGGCATTTAAGTCTACAGTCCGCCTCGCCTATTCAAACAGAGCGTTCTGATGAGGGGGGTCAAAACAGGACAGAAAATAGCCTATTGCTTCTGAATTATGATGTTTTTTGATGTAAAAATCTTGATAACATTATAAGTGGACCTCAGAAAACAGTACAAAATAAAAAACAAAGGCAGTTCATGACCACTTTAAAAAACAAAACTAATGAATAAATGTAATGGAATTAAGTAATAAGAACTGGTAATTAACCAGATATAATGTATGAATTCATGGATGCACTTTGTCTGAAAAAACAATGACATATGATGATTTATCATTTTCAGCCCATTCTAAATTCCGGGGGAAAAAAGACATGACAAAGCGTCATCCACGTCAGCCAGCTGGCTAACATTACCCTGATAATGCATTTAAATTATCAGAATTGAACAACAATGTTCAATATATCATAGAAAACCAAATATTGAAATGTGAATAGAATTTTAAATTAAGACTTGAGACTATCTCACACTTTTCAGGCAGTCCTTTTTGTTGAGCCCTGGGATGATTGCATTCGGACTGGACTGGCTCAAAGATGTTGTTTTTTTTGGATTGTTTAGTTTGCGGTAACTGCTGTGGGTCACTGCATTGCTTCAGATAGGTCAAATCTCTCTTTCCACTAAAGATGTCTTTGACCTGAACAGTGAGCTGTCGAATGGTTGGTATTAGCCTTTGGCTTGAAACACTACATACTGTAGATCTGTTCATGCTTCTCATTGACTGAATGCTGAACCAGGCTAGATGAGATGGTACCTCTGGGTTTCAGGACTGCATGGAGCATGATTTTATTGCTTATGTTTATGTAACAGTGCTATTCAAACTTTAGGACCTCTAGAGGACATGTTTACATGGACTGCAAGACTCCAGCTATTTACTACTTTAGAACTGAGAGTTGGATATATACAATGTGAAGACAACATTCATTAATCAACAACCTCAAATGCAAATGGCAATAATTATATTTAATAATTTTGAGAATATTAGGTCTTGTTCATATTATTGCAGTCAATGTAAATATAGCCAGTGCCTGCTATTTTGCAGCTCTCTCTTTTTTTTCTTGAAAGACAAGGCACTATTTGGTCAAAGCTGTTGCTGCATGTGTTTAAAGATACATGGTCATTTCCTTTTAATTAAAAATCTCATTCCAGGGTGTTAGATCTGGTCTCCACGCCAGGTAATAATTAGGATCCATCCCCAGACGCCAGATCCCGTCAGAAAATATCAGTTTGTCCAGTAACAGAACAACTAGTCAGCAGTGCTGTTAATACCCTACTGTTATACCAAAACTGCTTCACAGCAACATCCCATAAACATTGGGTTTCCATAAACATTCCCTCATATCTATCTCTATTCATACAGACAAAACAGTTCATGAAACCCCACAAGCATGAGATTGAACAACAATGAAAATGCATAAGCTAGGGAAAATAAATAAGAAATATAATATACAGAAATATAATAAATTAATAAACAATAAAAATACTTAATATAATGATAAATAATAAAAATAATCAAATTATAATAATAATAAAATAATTAATCATATGAATGACTAATGATTATAAAATGATTATGTGAATAAATGATTATAAATGAATAAGAAAAAACATAAAAATAAAAACCCAACACACACAATTTGCACGTGAGGA